TGCGTCGGCCGCCGTTCACGCAATGGCTCCCTCACATGGACCTCCTCGATTGGCTCGCCCTATTCTTCGACTTCCAAAACGATAGCGTTCGGAACCAGAGGGAGCACCTCACCAACGCCTAGATGCGCCTCACGCCGCCGCCGGACGACATCGATACACTCGACGCCGGCGTCCTGCGTCGCTTCCACAAGAAGTCCAACATTTGGATCTCCGACCGGGTTGAAATGGCATGTTGATGTTGGGAGCAATTTCTTTGTGACTTCTAGTAGGAGTAGGCATGTGGGTAAGACTGGGTTTGTGGAGCAGAGGTCGTTATGGAACTTATTTAGAAGCTTTGGATCATGCTCATTTTGTTTCTTCAGGCACCCATTATTGTAAAGATCACTTGGAAGTTGAAAGATGGTAATGGTTCTGCGTTTCTAAAGTACAGTACAATAAACGGCATTAAAATTTAATGCTATTCTCAAATTTTTTGTCGTTCATCATGTTTTATATATCATTTTTACTTTTTAGACGTATTTTTGAAGATTACTAGGAAGTATGTTTTATATATTATTATTTAAAATACTATTACATGTTTTTAAAAATTAAACCACAAAACGTAGTTTCAGTTTTTTTTTTAACTAAAAACAATCTCAAAATAAAACTACCAAACGCATTTTCAGAAATGATTTCAAAATGAAAATGAAAACGTTTTCATTTTCATTTTCATACAGAAAACAAAATCATTTTGAAACGAGTTTCAAACGCACCCTACGTGTCTTAGTATACCCCATATTGCTTACTAATTAAAAATTCAATTTAGGGGAAAAAATAAATTTCTGATTTTCAAATGGTTAGTTTTACGTTTAGGAATTAAATGAGCTGGCTTTCCCTTTTAAATAATTAGGAATCAAAGATATGTAAAAACTTTTTTTTCCTAAAAAAGAAGACTAAACTAGTTTATCTATAAATATTATACTCACACGTATATCATTCTTTTATTTTTTTTTTCCGATAATCTCATTTATGTTATTCTAATTTCTTCAGATTCTTTACTTCACATAAACATTTTTTTTTATAGCCAGACTAAACTTATTTTACAACCACAATTATATTATTCTAATTTATTATGATTTAGTACAGTAAACAAGACTTTATTCACAATTTATAATTTAAGGGAATACGAAAACTAAAATTCGTGACACTTAATTATTATTATTATTGAATTTATTTCGTCCACTCACTGCTACATTGCTAAGGAGAAAGAACTAGTAAACTGACCTGACGTTGGGGGCATGTATATTGTTGCCGGAATTTGGATAAAGAAATGTTTTATTTAATTGGGAAAAAAAAATCACCAGTGTTTTATGCCTTTGACCGTTGACGTCTCTATATGAAAAACGACAATAAATAGTTTTTTGTCGTTTAGTGAGGCCATCGATGATTCGATATGTCCTACAACTCTCTTTTGAGTAGAGGTGTCACTGCCCGGACTGCTGCAGTGGTCAATTTAGCACGGTTGATCATGTACTGTTATAAGTCAAATCGACCCGTTACGTTAAAAGGGGGTTTGGATTAAGTCTTATGTTTGAGACCCGTGTAGCCCAGACGAGGCCCAGGCTCACCAAGATCCAGGCACGTAAAGGATCAGACCCGTAATATAAAATTTTAATGAGATTTATGTATCAGTTATTTTTTTATAATTATTAATATTATTTTAATAAAATTATATTTTTTTGAGACATATAATATATATTTTTTTGTCATCAAATTTAAAATTATAAAAAAATCTTAAAAAAATATTAATTATAAGTAAAACTCAAGTATATTAAAAAATATATATATTAAGATTGAATTTAAACATAATAAAATCTTTTAAAATTACTTAAATTTTATAATTTACTTATTCTAATTTATTTTTTTGGTTAAGATTTTATCTCAATCTCTTCACAAATTTTATTTATTAAAAATTTTAATAAAATAATTATTTATGTATATTTATTTATATTATATCAATTTAATAAAATTATTTTTTTAGCGATATAATATATATTTTTTAATTAAATATCGTAAAAAAAATTAAAAGGATCAGAGGCGGCTGTGAAGGGCTCGGGCCCTGCTTTAGCCCTTATGGACTAAAATCGAAAGTCGAGTCTGAGGGTTTCTCCTCAGGCTCAGCCCTAATCCTACATTGTGCAGTCCGGGCCAGGCACGGCCTAAACTCGCTACAGACCTGTTAGGATGGCTGTGCCGGCCCGTCACCGCCTTTTGACATCTTTGAGGAAATAGAGTAAAATGAGTTGATTGTCACTAAACTCAAAAACAAAAATAGAAGAAGAAGAAGAAAGAGCAAATCAATAACGATCCAAAATCACTTTTTTCATCAAAGTAACATCCAGAAAATCCCATATTTACAAACATGAAAAACTCCAGAAATTTTCAGAGCAGAAATTACAGTACAAGAACATATATTATTCAATTACCGATTTCTTAGCCGATCACGGAACCGGAATGATCACCAAATCGAAAAGGAACACACTAAACACGAACCAGATGATCCAAACAAGGATCCCGCGATCAAGCCTCGGCGCCAGATCGGGAGCGATAAAGCTTGCCGAAGACATGAAGAGCCGTGACGAAGCCGATGAAGCAGAGGCTCATAACAAGCACGACGGTCGGCGAGATCTTCAATCCCGGAGCATCGTCGGTGTAGAATCTCAGCATGTTGCTTCCGGGACCAGATCCACCGCCGAACGAGGCCGAGCCCGATCCAGCGGCGGCAGCTCCAGAGACCCGACGGCGGCGCATTCCTGCGTGGAGCAACCACGCCCGGCCGCGATGTGGAAGACGACGCCGTTTGGGACTGAGACGAACCTCTGACCATTTTTGCAGAGCGAAGCACAGGAAGAAAGCGTGTCTGTGACAAATGAGAGTAAATCCAAACAACTAGTACAAAGATGAAGTTAAAAAGATGTGACTAATTACTGGAAAATTGATTGGTGAGGAGTTAAAGTGATAATTAATAATGTGATTTACAAGAAAAAACGAAGGATGGAGTGGATGAGGGAATCCATTAATAGCAACACTGCCACGTTGCTTAGGGGAATAAAACAAAAGGGGTAAAAGTTATTTGCCGTGTTTTTAATTTATCCCACTTTTATTTTTTACATTTAAAAAAAAAAGAAAATATTTTTAAAGCAGTATTTCACACAATAAAAATAAAAAATAAAAATAAAAATAATTTTTTAATTTAATATAAAATAAGAAAAAAATAAAAAAATAATTTTTTATTTTTTATTTTTTTATTTTTATTTTCTCCTCTCTCGCATATAGAGAGACATTAATGAGTTTTTTTATACTGAAAATAATATCTTGATAAAACTACTGAATACATTTTTAAAAATGATTTCTATATGAGATTGAAAACGTTTTCATTTTTATTTTCATACAAAAAAATAAAATCATTTTGAAACGAGTTCCAAACGCGCCCATTATCTTTGAGACAATTCCATAGAAGAAAAAATTGGTCATATTTGATATAAACAATAAAATATTATGTAGAAATTACTAGATATTTGAAAAGAAATTAATTGTTTAGTTCGCTGATTTAAGTTTTTAATTTGAGTTGATATGTGACTTTATGTAAAAAAAAATTTATTGCGATAAAAAAGTTAAATGTGACTGTTTTTAAGAGTTTTTTACTGAAACAAAACTCGATTTCTAAATTCGAATCAGTGAAATGAACTGAGTCAATGTTTTATCGAAATTATTTTTATGCAAAATATTTTGTGGAAATTACTAGAAAATGTGGAAAAGGATCTTCCGTCAATCTATTTTGGAATTTTCCACAAATAGTTCTTTTGGAAAATCGTTTGTGCATATTGTCACCAAAGAACATTTCCTTGCTCTTTCCATTTCTAGTGTTCGAGGAGGAAAAAAAAAAAGGGGAAAGAAAACTTAGTACTTAATAAAGCCTGCGTTGTTCTTCTTCGGTGCTGTCACTCATTCATTATCTATCTGTAACTTGTATAGAAATTTTTTTTAAAATAAAAGAGGAGATAATTTTTGTACTTTAACCATTACCCCTCTTTTTGTATCAAATATATATATATATATATAAAGATTAAGTTGACGTTTAATTTATGGATTTAGAATTATTTTCAGTTTATGTGTGTTTTTATGAAAGAAAATACTATAACAAATCACGAACCATAATTTTAATCATGGCACGAATCCACTAACCAAATAGGAGAACTTCATAGTTTGTTTGTTTTGGTAATTTTTGTTGTCTTTGTCTCCATATGTTTCTTTCTTTTTTAAAAAAAAATATTCTACATGTTTAGTTTTATTGAAAAAACTAATATTGAGTTTTCCGTTTTCTTATTTTAATTCTGATTTTTTTCAAAAAAAAAAAAAAAAAAGGAGTCAAGATTTAAATTTTTAACCTTATTTGGTACAAAATTATCCCAACATCTAACTTGCAATCACAAGCTGATCTTTCTTGTTTACACTTAATCTTCATTTAGATGTCACTATTTCCTTCGTTTTATAATTTTATGTAAAAGATTTTTTTGTTTTTGTTTTTCTTGTGCTAACCATGTATAATACAAATCGTATTTTAGGGCACGTGTAAACGTACACAATCACTAGTAGTTATAGATCCTCTAAAGTCTGTAGTAAAAACAATTTAAAAAAAAAAAAAAGGAAGAAAATCGTTCAACTATTATCCTGTCATTGAAGAAAGAGAAACGCTTGGTTATGATGTCGTTTTAGTTTATATAGAAACTACAACTTCCCCTTAAAAAACAAAAACAAAAAGAAACGACTTCTTGTTAACATTGACATATTATGTCGTTTACTTGTCCCAAGGGTATGTCGTTTAAAGATAAATTGATGACAAAGTGTGACGACAACAAAATGAAGAACGACAATAATATTGTAAAAGTAGCGAGAGCAAGAAGTAATGAAATAAGATACACGAGAGAAAACGACAGCAAAATAAAAAGTTCAGCAGTAAAGAAGTAAATAGAATACGACGATATCGGAGAAAATACCCAGAAATTCAAAATAAATACTACAAGAATATATAAAACGACAAGAAAGTGAAAGACGATATAAAAATAAGAAAACGACCAAAAACGTTTTTTGATTGGACATCGCAAAAAGTTGAACGACAGCAAAGTAAAATAAAAGAAACAAACGACAATCAACATCTTCAAAAAACGACAATTACCGAAATAAACGACAAAAAATTACAAGTGATGAGGGAAAAAATGTGAATTGGAGAAGCCAATAATAATTCTTCAAAAAAAAAAAAAAAAAAGGACAGTAATGGATAAGCTAAAGGAAAGATCCCGACAAATACAATGGTAAACGACAAAAGACAGAACTGATGAGAAAAATAAAGAACAAGGCATTTTAAAAAAAAAAAGAGGACACGACAATAATGAAGAAGTTAAAGGAAAGTGCTTATTAAACCTGCCGTGCCGTAATCAAATCAAAACGGGCTGTTGTTTGATATCAGTTAATTTGACGTTGTCAGATACAAAACGACATGTCCGATGCTATATTTTGTACATTCCGTTACGTCCTATATGTTATGAACGGCAAGATCTAGTTCAACTCACACATCTTCGGCAAGTAATTCCACTTCAAGGGATGCCGTATAATCAATCGCCCCTTTTTGTTTCAAATTAAAAAAGGTCAGTGGTAATATGGTATTAACCAGCGTATTATTTATTTCATTACTGAATGAATTAGCAGTCTATTTATTATCCGCCAATAGGACGACAGGAGACAAGATGCAGACACATTCGAACACAGAACCACCAAGTTTAATGAGATGTTACGAGGTAAAATTAACAATGATACCATAGTGTAATATTTATAAATGTTGGACTCGACTAACTCTTATAATGCAGGCTATACAGGTAGAAGAACTTACTAATAAACTTTAAAAAATAACGACTGCGCCGTTGGCTACATGTAACGAACTTTAACACAGATACACCAATATATATTATCAAAAAAGAAAAAGAAGTTACAAACACACCATATCTTTAATCTAATTTCAAGCTGCAGGCTAAAATAAATCTGTATCCCATATCATCTAAACATAACAATAAACATTTATTTAATTCTGAGGATATTGGACCGCACCAAAGCAGTTAACCATTTAAAACCTTTTAATATAGAAACCCCGTCCTCAATTCCTTCCTTTGCCAACAATATTAACCACATATAAACAGAGAAAATGTAAAATAGGAGTAGTTGATTAAGTTGAACATTAGGCAGTAGCCCAGCTTTCTTGATCATATAATCATCACTTTATTGATCACTAACAATGAAGTACACTAATCAGTAATCATAATCAAGGTACATCCATATAAAGGAGACAAGTTAATTAGCCAGCTACCAAAATAACACATTTACAACAAACAAAAAAAATCACATTTTTCATCAAACATCAGCAGCATTTACACGATACAGTTCAGTGATGTCTTAGAACCCTAACTACAGCTAGCTAGGCCTCTCTCAGAATTGGCGACGAAGAGGTGGGCCCTGCAAGGCATGAAGACTGCGGGTGGTGCGGCGGCGGGGTTCTGTTTCGGCGGCGTCGGAGACGCAGCGAGCAATGGTGACGGACACGAGCAGCACTCCCAAGCACAGCACCGCGTAGCACTGCCGTCCCAACTTCCCCAACAATCCCTCCATCACTATCTCCATGATCTCCCTCAAAAATTCTTTGTTTTTGTTTGGATTATGAATGAGAAGAGCAGAATATATACAGATAATACATAGTGAGAGAATTAAGGAGAGAGAGAGAAAGGAATATTGAGTGGGAAACAGTTGTGACAGAAAGGAAACGAGGGGCGCGGCAGAGGAATATACAAATAGATAGGAAGGGGTGAGTGGGGGCTGAGCCGTTGGGAAAAGCGCAAACCTGCGGATTCTGGAGGTGATGATTGTCGTTTTGTAGCAGGCTTTTTAATTGAAAGGCTTGGAATAACCGACGCAGAGCTGCTTGGTTTGAGGGCTCAACACGGCAGCACTGTGGTGTCGTTTCGTGCGACACTTGACTGCTTGAGTAGTGTGGGTTGGAGTTTTACGCGTTGGAATTAGGGGGTGATATGGGCACAAAAAGTTCGCTCGAGTTTTATATTTGGATTTTTCTGTCAGAATGATTTTCTCGCTTTTCGGTTTTCCCAATACATCCACAGTGACATCAATTCAACGACAATTATCTTCTATTTTAAAAAAAAAAATTTAATTTTCTTTTCTTGCGTCAGAAAAATTAACGTCCCTCTTGGGCCGGAAACTCATGTTGAGTTGTCTCTGATTGTTCTGTGGCCCATTTTGCAAATCATCCATCGTATAATTGTTAAAGAATACTGAACAATGGAAATTGGTAAGTACTCTTTTATCACAGATTTTTATTATTGCTCGTTAAGCATGAGTAATCTAGATTCTCTCTCACAGACATATGTATATGTATGCATATATTAATATATATATTTAAATAATACTAAAAAAAGTAAGCAAAAGTCTCCACAGACGTAATCACAAAATTTAAAACAAGAAAGGTTTGCCATGAGACAAGAAAGGTTTGCCATGAGAGGACAATGAATAGAATCGACCTATGACTTCATCAATCTTTTTTCCAAAAAGTGATTCTCGGGCACTTTAAGGAATACTACAGGTTTTGAATTTAAATTGAAATATACTAAGAAACATAAACTATTGCAGAGAATGTCACGGCTAAAAATATTTAAAAATCATAAATTTATAAAAATTACAAATATATATATGAAAAATCACAAAACATGTTACAAAATTTAAAATACTAAATCAAACACATAAAAGTACAAGCATAATTTTGGTCAAAACACAAAACTTAAATAATGTCATCATGGTATATTTTGTAATAGTTTTAAGGTCCGTTTAGTTCTCTAATTCGAGTTTTTAATTTAAATTGAGATGTGACTTTATGTGAGAGCTTTTTACTGTAATAAAAAGTTAGATGTGACTGTTTCTGATAATTTTTTATTATAATAAAATTTGAATTATAAACTTAAATCGATAAAATGAACAGAGCACAAAACTCAATCCAACCTTAAAAATCATCATATATTGCCTACATCTTATTACTAAGTTACCCACATATCCGGCCCAAATAGTAGTACATTTGTCCACGAAAATAGCCCATGTCTACAAGACGATTTTTTATTTTTTTAACTTACGATAATTATTAGACTATGCCTACAATTACCTAAAAAAAATCATAAAAAATTACAGAATTTATCCATGTGTCTAGATCTTTAGTACTCCTCATTCTTAATTAATACTCTTTTGTTAGTATAGTGATTTTACTAAAAACATTATTAATCAAAAGTAATAAATAGAAATTCTGACTCATGCATGCACTTTTAAGGAGTATTCCCTTCACATTTATGAGACAAATTTTGTATCTTTGAGTTAGTGAGCAATTTTACAACTCAATGGGAATAAAAGAAGACTTGACTAGGAACTAGGAAGGACGATTCCCCACCCTCCTCCACGCTCCGCCCTCTCCTCCTTGTCATATTATTCCAAGCATTAGCGTTTCAAATATTTATGCTTTATCACGGAACAGTGCTTCATTAAAAGTTTAATTACATTGTGATTGAGCAATCTTTTCTCAGGGTACATTGTGAATGAGCAATTTGATTTGATGTTGGATATTATAAGGCATTTATATATACACACACAAAAAAAAAAAAAAAAAAAAAAAATTTTAAAAAAAAAAAGGGGGGGGGGGGAAGGAAACTCCATAAATCTAAAGGACCCAATATCCAACTAAATACTAAATAAAATAAAAATAAATAAAGGATCTGTTTTGACATCAAATGGATATATCCATATATCTCTGGCTTAGATTTATGAGATGAAAAAAAAAAATTGTACAGCTACAAAGTTCAAGCTTTGTAATACAATTGAAAAAAGTGAAAAAAAAAGTACTTTTAAAAAATTAATTATAAACCATATGAAAAAAATTAAAAAACTAGACGTACAAATACTATAGAACAAGCCTCCCGCGGCATCGTCCTCTTTCATCGATCAGCATTCGATAGCGACGATGAACGCTAGAATGTACGTATATATGTATGTATTTTCATACGCTGGGCCGTTCAAATGAAAAATCTCTGTGGGAGACGTTTATCTGGTGCTGTTGTGAATCCGTGGGCGGCTGAGCCGGACCGGGCCCGTCGGACAACCGGTCGTGCTGGTCTATTTGGCCCATCTCGATGTGGTGGTGGTGAGAGGACGAGCCATCGCCGGGGATGTGCTGCTGGGGATGCGACGGCGATGGCGAGTCGGTGTCCCACCGCTCGGCGTCCAAATATGTCCTCCGGGGTGAGTTTTGGAGGCTGTCCATCTCGCTCCGGTAGTTGCGGAGGAGGTGGATCGGGGATGTGTGATGGGAGGGAGTGGCGGACCGGCTCGACAGTGGCGTGACCGAACCGGTCCGGCTCTGCTTGACGTGCTTCTTGGCCGTGTGGTGCCAGTTACGGAGGGCCGCGGCTACTCTCTCATTGAATATCGTTGGTTTCATTGTTGAACCCATCTGCTCATACCATAATGTAATAGTTTTAAAAAAAAATGTTTAAAAGTATAGTTCTGAATTTAATATGTCCTTGATTGATAAGATTTTTGTTACTTATATTGTTAACGGGCAATATTACTTCTTAGTACTACAATTATATATATGTGGCATGCAGATTATCCATAAAAATAGGGTCCATTTTTTGATAGAATTATGTTATTTTTTTCACGTTATACCATTTGCGGTGCTCTCTGGTATTTTGCAAAAACTTGAGTGGGAATTTAAGTTATACGTATAGTATTGTTTTACCTGTGTGACAAGGGCATAGAGAGGGAGAGTGACATAGCTGCAAAGAAACTGAATGAGGACCCTAATAAAATCCACATACATTAAACAAAGTGTGTTAGAGGCTTCCCAATTTTTGTTTCAGAAATTAGGAATTAATTGGCTAGGTGATCAGAAATATTAATTTACCCCATTGTGATTCTGATGACCAAATCCTCCGTATGCTCATGGAAACAAGATCTGATCCCGAATTCATACTGGAAACAAGCAAAAAGAACAAGGAAAATATAAATAAATAAATAAGACAAACAGAAAGAAACAGAATTTAATTACACTATCTGGCAGCAAATAAATAACTAAATAAGGTAAAAATTAAAAGAGCGTAGTAGCTTACCCAAGTCCATGCAAAGAAAGCGAGCTGAAAGGCATTCTGCAAATAATAAATTAGATCACGTAGGAACATTAGTTAGTGTACGTGATCATGGGATTAAAATATAAACTAGACATACAATGATCAATATAAACATATATATAATTAGCTTCTCTATATATAATATAATATAATAATAATATTAATCGAGCTAGTTAGCTGTACCTGAAAGAGAACGAAGTTGATAAGGTAAAGAATAAGTCGAGGTCGGTTGAACCAGAAAAGGTGATCACCAGGTTGAACCACAGGTACTCCTTTGACCACCTCTCCTCTTTCTTGAATTCTGAGCCCCATTTTGGTTATAATCACCTGGAGCTTCGTTCCCACCAATAGAATGACCTGCATTAATCATGTGCGCTATTAACCGTTAGATTCTCCTCTGGACCCCACGCAATGAGTGTCCAATATATATTTGGAATATAAAAAGATTTATATATATGAACCCGAACATGATCGTGTGAAAAGGATATGGATTTATTTGCTTACAATCAATGGAATAAATGGCAGCCACAGATAAGAATACCAGCCTGTGGAGATAAGGAAACCAAAAAAGTTATAATAATAGTCCAATAATTCGACCATGCATTATTCAAGGTTATTAAGAAAAAAAAAAGACGCATACATACACAACTAAATTATTGTTATAAAATAAATAAATAGCTTGGAAACTTTTCCTATCATCTGATCAACTTTATCAAACATGATATTAATATTAAATAATCACATCATGTTGTATTTATAAATCGTGGATAAAAGTAAAAAGTTCTCAAATCATTAGTCACTCACCGTGAGTATTGAAGAGCAGAAACACCACCGCGAAGAACCATATTGGGGGACTGGAAGAATACAAAAACAGTAATAATTTGAGTTGAGTTTCCAAGTATAATCAAAACTTGATATCAACTAGAGGAATTAATGGAGCTTACATACATATTGTGAATGAAATCAAAATGTAAACTGAGAGAAATTAAGGAAAAGAGATTACTATCATGATGAGTACTAAGATAAGCGTATACTAACCTAATTCCGACGACCACTTTGAAATCCTCTTCTAGCGATCTATTAATGTACTTCTGAAAGTCGAATCTTTGATGGCTTTGAGGGGCCAAATGTGCCTGAAAATTGAAAATATATACGTCACTTCAACGGTCAACTTATGTAATAAGCTTTGTTTTCTACGAGTGTAGGGGAAAAAAATTACACTGTAGGACATAATTAACTTGATATGAATAAGATTATATTTACTAATCAGTTGAGTACTTTTCTAGTCCAAAAAGAGAGAGAGAGAGAGACTTGAGTACTATTCATTACCACTGTACTCTGTTCTTGTAGTTATATACCTAGCTAAGATATTTGACAGTGTTCATGTTAATATTTTGATGAATGTGGTTAGATCTTAATTAGCTATAACCATTATTTATTTTTTTAAAAATGTCAATTGATACTTAGTAACAAAGTCATGCAACATTTATTTGTTGAGAAAAAAGGTCCCCTTTTTGAAAGCAAATAAAAATTAATGCTCAACGTCCGGCGCCAACTATAATTAATTAGAATAAAATTAATTACCATTATGAATCCATGCCTTAAAGTCAAATAGTCGACTTTTGGAACCGACCTAACAAACTGTCTGAAGAAACAAACCTGCAAAAGGTAAAAGAACAAAACTAATTAATTATTAAACAACTAACTAAAATGAAACAATAACCATATCAATCCCCCCCCTTTACGTAAACGACCTTGACATAATTGATTGGATTATGAAAACCACCAAGGCGGCAAGACCTACGTGATTTGAATTTTTAAGACAGAAGGAAAAGGTCGCAACTGCAAAAGTTTACGTACATGCATGAAATAATAATAAAATAAGTTAACCGTTATGAGAAGGTCAAAAATAAATGCAGAGAAGGGAATTTTGTGTAAGCCATAATTAGAGGTACGGTCATGTCGCTTTCTGAGCTCTGCCATGCTCGGACCGTTTATCTTCCTTTATGTATATGTATATATATTTTACATATTACAACAACCGCAGCATATACTACGAACTAGTCTAATTTACCTTCTAAAAAAAGAAGGGCCAGATTTCCTGAGTTAGACATAAAAACATATTAAAGATAAACGTTTTCCATTTTTTGCAAATCCGGTGTATTATTATATCATTCTATACTTGGAAATGAACTTTTTAAAAATGTCTATTGAAGAATTTGCTTATGACGAGAACCCAAAAGTCAAATCAGCCAATTTATGGGGACCAAGGAAATAATTTCGTGTGTGCCACCATTAGTGGGATGCAAAGACCAAAAGTGCCTTTTAGAAAGGAAAAAAATGGGGGATCAAAATTTTGGAGCTCGCTCGATCCTTCCATATGAAGGCCTACAAAGTATCAAATTTCCTATATTACCCTTGGAAAAGATGCTTCACGTGGATTTTGTCGTTCTAAGTGAGCAATCTCTCAATTACGAATCTTCCAGTACTTCAAACTTGTCTACACTAAAATCTTCTGGACACTATTGTTAAATGGAAAGACATAGGAAGATAATAAAATCAAATAATAAGTACTTTCATAACCAAATCCAACCAAGTAAAAGTGCACTTTTACTACATTGCAAAAATGCACGCACTTGTATTTAATTCTTCTTATATGATCCGAAGGTCATCTATTTCAACATGCTGAAAATTTTAGCAACGATTTTAATGTGGGATAATTAACGAATCTACAAAAGCTACCGAATCTTCAGCATCTCATAAAAGGGAATTAAGGGAGACATTAATGGGTTTCTGAAGCTCCTATTATGATTAATTCAATGAATTGATTAATTATTTAATCTCGCTAGCTGGTGGGGTCATTGTTAGGTTAAGAGAGCACATCAATTTGATTAGTAAACCGACGTTGAAAGATCCATTACATATACAGGGACATTATATGGCTATATTCTATTTGGACGTAATCAATGGTTATTATTAGCAATAAATATTTAAGTCCCCATTTTCAAATTAGCACTCGGTAATGTGTTTTGTACGCTAACAAGTTACAAGTACCTACAAAATATCTTATTACCTTATTATTATTTTTTAATTAAAATAATTTGTTGATGTAGAGCTCAAAAATCTGTTTAATATCTTGACATTTTGGGTGAAAGTTGGAGGGATGATTTGACATTACCTTTAAAGTAATTTAAAAATAAAAAAAAAAGAGGGTTTAAAAAAAAATTACCCTTAGGGAAATATTAAGTGAGAGATCTTTCTTTTAATTCTACTAACCGTTCCATGATTTAAATGAAGAAGCCTTTCCCTA